ATTCAAAACAATTGTGTTTGTCCTTTGTCCCTCTTGTTCCTCTTCTCCAGGGATTATTTTCGTCATTCATGTCCAGCTCGCTTGCATCTTTGCATTTAATTGCACTATAATTATGTATTTTATATTTATTAAATCATGTCCATATTTGATATTTCCCTTTTCATGTGTTAAAAATGTTTCTGACTAATTCGATTCCATCATTCTTTGCTAAAAAAACCATCGTGTGATAATTAATTGATCCAGTTTTTTTTTTTTTTAGTTGTATAGAACTTTACAGTTTTTTTTTTCTTTCTATTTCTGTGTGCAAAAAGCTATGTACCCAACACTGCTGCGTTAGAACTTTAAAGGGGGCAGAGACCTCGTCAGGCATCACGCCTTTGGTCTCTGCCCACCTCCCGGTCAATCGGGAAAAGAAAGAAGAAAGAAAGAAAGAAAGAAAGAAAGAAAGAAAGAAAGAAAGAAAGAAAGAAAGAAAGAAACCCTTCCTGATCACATGGATACCTCCAGATAAGTGCTGCTGAAATTGAAAGAAATATTTGACGGTTTGTAACAGCACTGGAGAGGCCCTGTAGCATGGTACGTTCCAGCTAGGGCACGACTATACACTCTTATAAAGAAATGTCGTGGTACATACTGCGGTTAGTAACGGGCATATGTTACTATAACCGAGGAAGTAAGTAAAGGGGAAGTAGCCTCATCCACAAGAACCTACTAGAAACAACACTGATTTAGAAATGCGTACTAACTGTCACGAGAAATCTAATTTCAAAAAGCTATAGACCTTTTCTGTGTACTCTCGTCCCCAGCCACCTAATAGGCGTATTCGGTATGGGCGACGAAAAAATAACAAAACGTTTCTGCTGTAAATAGTTAAAAAAATACAGGGGAAGCAAAACGAGAATGTGTGGCGGTTACGTTTGTATCTTAACCGCGTGGCGTGGCGACGGGAAAACAATGTTTTCGTCCATACTGGAAGTGACGACAATTCAAGATGGCGGCGCCCCTGTAAAAAAGGTCTATAGGTGGCGCTAGCAAATACCCAACTCAAAGGCCACAAAAGCAGTTGCATTGCTCACGCGCTTATCATTGCATCTCCTAGACTTTACATTACACACACACTCTAAGCGTCGTCAATCGGCTGAACGCATCACATACAAGGATCACATACACAAACGGAGCACATGAAAACACAATCACGAACGCACGCTACACGAATCACTGTTCCTCTTCCGCCTTTTATACCTGTCTGTTTTTTTGTTTTTTTTTTTTTTTAAGGCACACCTTTTTTTAATGATTACCTCAGCGATAAATGATTTTACAATAACTTTACCTTTGTCGTTGTTGTTTCACTAATGTTATTTCTTAAAATTAATTTCGAATGGTCCAAGGGATTAATCTCATAGTAAACATAAACCATTCACGCTATAATAATTTCCGATAATCGATATAACTGTCTGCTCCTCTGCGCTTCATAGCCCGTGTTTCCACTTCTCCGCAAAGCTCCGCACGTCTCTTTCGGAAGAGTGAAGAGTTCTCGTGCACAGCTTCGAACGGCGTGCAATGTGCTCGAGCGCTCATACGCCCATAAAAAGTAGTAACATTACCATCTCGGCTTTCTTGACGATTACAAGCAAGGCGACTGGCCGCGAGTCCCTATCGTTTCGTCGAAAGTTGTTCTGTGGATAACGTTTCATGGGCACAGGCTCTATGGACACGCGTTTCGTCGACAAGAACGTTTTACCGACGCTCGTTACGCGAATTGGACGCTGTAGGGACATTTCGTCCCAATGTATCACTGGGGTGCGCGTCCCCACCTCCCCCCCCCCCCCCCTTCCCCCCCGGCCTGCGTTCACGTCACTTCGTGGCGACCAGTCTGCGGCAGCGTATACAAAAATGTTAACCCACCTGCCTGACTGACCCGTACTCGCCGCTTCGAGGCGACAGTCTTATGCAGCTTATTACAGAAAAAAGCTAATCTGAGCTGTCAATGAAACGATTTGTCGATGAAACAATCTGTAGATGAAACGCCGTTCGATGAACTGATTGCCATCGCGCTGCACGTGCTTGCATGCATGGAACACCAGTCGGGACGCCATGCCTGCAATTACTGCCCGTGGCGTATATTTGAGATGAAACAGCTAGCGAAAAGGTAGTAATAGCAGCCATGCAGAGGTAGTAACTGCTTCATTTACTGTCTCTTTACTACATTTATCTAAGAGTGTAGAGTCACTGAATAGATTAGAGTATCGGCACTCTATTCAAGGATTTTCTTATGGGCGCAGCCGTTTCGGTGCTTCGTGCAGACCGGGAGCAATCGGCGATCGTTACAAAGTTGAAAAGAGACAATGGCGTTTTACTCTGTCACGGTGTTTCAATGTTTCTGGAAGTCCTGCTGCTTCAGATAAAGGTTCAGACAACTGTCAAGAATGATCATAAAGGGGTTATGACACGATACCGGGTTGGAATGTTCATGGCTTTGCAAAGACATACTGAAACTAAACATTCGAGAGAAATCTCTCTGGTTAGGAAATACAATAAATAAATATGGCAACCAACCAATTCCTAAACATGTGGGAGCCCTACGTTCCCCTGGCAGGAAGGCTCTCGAAAAGTCAAAAACCTGCACAACAGGACCGCCCTTAGTGTGGAGGAACTGTGCCGCCTCCTTGAGTTCTGCCTTAGCAACACCTACTTTAGCGTCAAGGGAGAGTATTTTAAACAGGCCAGCGGAACCGCCATGGGCGCATTCGTCTCCGTTACCACGGCTAACCTCTGCATGGAAGCCATTGAGGAAGAGGCCCTGCAGTCATTCGCCACTGAGCTCAAAATATTTAATTGGTATGTAGACGACTGCTTCTGCATCCTTCAAAGATCTCAAGTGGACAGAGTCCTCTGACACCTCAACTCCATCGAAACGGCTATCCAATTCACATCAGAACTTGAAAAAAGACAATTCCTTGCCTTTTCTTGACGTGCTCGCGAGAAGAGAAAAGGAAGAGTTGAAGTTTTCGGTCTACAGGAAGCCCACGCATACTGGACGTTATCTCCAGTTTGATTCCAATCACCCGGCCTGCCACAAAGCATCGGTGATTAGGGCACTGCTGTCTAGGGCGAAGACTATATGCTCGTCTGAGGCTGACAGAAGAAATGAGGAAAAAGCCGTTTGTGCTGATCTCAAAAAGAATGGATACACGAGCACCTTTATCCCACGCGTTGCCCGTCGTCGAGCTCGAGATCAGACACCTAACCACAAGCCTGTACGCAGCCACGCTCACCTCGCGCATCTGGGTATACCCTGCATCAAAGGAACAAGCGAGGCGCTTGCACGCGTGCTAGCCAAAGAAGGAATCAGCGTGGCCCACAAGAAGATGTCCACGCTTGGGTTACTCATGCCCCGCTCAAAAGATCGCCCTCCGAAAGAAAAAACGTAGGGCGTGGTTTATAAGATCCCTTGTGCAGATTGTCCAGCCACTTACATCGGCGAGACAAAGAACTTTAATGAAAGAATACGCCAACACAAAAAAACGACGTTCGCAAGCTCGACCACGAGCGCAGCGCAGTCGCTGAGCACATACGAAGTCGAAGACCACCGGATTGATTTCGACAACACCAGCATTATCGAAGCAGAGACTAACAACCGACATAGGCTTTTCATTAAGTCCTGCCACATTCAAACGACGCCAGGCAACATAAATAGGTGCCTTGGTGCTTTACCAACAGTGTATGTGAACGGGCTTCGCCATATTCGTGAAAGAAGAAGATCGCGAATTGCGCCACGTACATCCCTGAGAGAAGAAAAAGAAGACCGAAAAACGCCGCTCCTCAACGGCCACAGTCGCCCCTGACGAAACCAAGTCGGTTCGAAACCTAGGGCTTCTACATGATTATGAATTGGTTGGTTGCCATATTTTAATTAAAGACATACTGGTCTTATAGTCTGGCCCAAATATACTCGCACAAACCACCACTGAACCAGAAGGTTTTTTGTCACTATGAAATTGCGAAGATAAAAGGGGACTATTTCTTTCAGTCTAACCTTCGCAAAGCTTGATGACGCAATTTCGGGATCGAGACCGCTCGCCTGACGACAGTTGAGCGCGGCTCATGGATTGGACACGAAGAATGCGTGAGCATTCGATTTCGGCTCGTATACAATCAATGCTTCAGCGGACACTCGGGTAGTGGCTCGTCCTGAACCGGCGTGCGGTCGTGTATCACTACTGCGTGGTGCACGTTAAAGACCCCAGGCTAGCGGTTGCACTGACTAAATTGCTCATCTACAGCGTGTGACTCGTCGTAACTTTAAAGGCTGACCAACTTCACCTTGTATAAATATCCCCATAACCCAATGTGCTTTTTGCCTGGAGCTCAGCACGCGATTTTACGTTGCCAGCCCCAGCGCGTGGCTATGATTAACATTGGCGTCATCGGATAGGCATCAGGCCACGGGTAGAGTCTACCACGGGGCCGCTTGTTCTGTCTCCGAGTTGAAGGAATTAGCGAAGCTCATATTTTTCTAATTTGTTTTGGTGACTGTTATTGCCTAGAAAGAAAAACTAAGGCAAGTTTATTTCGTCATTAACGCCAGGGAGCAATTCTAAGTAGTACTTGGCGAAAATAGAAAAATCGTTTCATGACTCCTTTAAGCAAGCGTATTTAGTGGTTCCAGGTGCGGTGCGGCAAAAGTAGACAGATTAGAAGGAGTAATAACTTGCTTATTCCAAGTCAGCCTGCAAGTGGTAACACGCATAATTACCGAACAGTTCACGCTTCAAAGCGGCATACCCCGAATCCGAGGGGTTATTGTGGAGAGGGCGCCGATCGACCGACATGTCGGTTGAACGTCAAACAACCCCATGAGGCCGAAATTAATGCTCAGTCCTTCGGAGGGACGTGTCAGACTTCCTTCGTTTGTCTGCGACGTAAAACCTCCGAATTCGCCGTTTTGTGCACCCCTCCTGTTTCTAAGCAGTCGTAACGTACACTATATATAGGTGATAGCCGGCATCCCGAGTTTATTTGTTGCGTGCATCCTTCCATTCCTCGTGCTCAGAAAGGCGTGTTCGTGAGGAAGTTGGTAATCATGCGCAGGGATTCCGGGGCCTTGTCCAGAGGCACCATATGTCCGGCGCCCTGAAAGCAGAAACAGTGATTCTTCGCAAGAACTTACACGCACACAAAGAAAAACAAAAAAAGAGGGAAGGGAGGGGGCAGTTTGAAAGGACGAAACATTGTGTCGAGCGGAAGGGTCAGAAGTTGCCTTTACCAAAAGAAGCTCGGGAGACGTTGCCGAGATGTTTTTGTAAATCATAGCTTCAACTCAAGTAGTAAGACTGGACACAGAGACCCCGAAATGAACACTGCTAATACATCATGCAAAAGACACGGGTGTTCGCTTTGCACACATGATGACGTATTTATCAACGGGCACGCAAGCATATTCGAATCAGGTTTGCTTCATACACAGACAGTTTCTTCAGACTGACGTACTATTTCGTATGATGTGTTAGCAGTGTGAGCTCGACTTAAAGGCCTTCCATTAGAGGTCTTCCGAAGCACGCGCATCACTTTGGTACTCAGTAGGGGGCGCTCCGTCTGTCTGTATACTGCCGTCAAAAACGGTAAGAAACGCAAAACATCGCGATGTCCGAGCATCTCATTAGAGAGTTTGAGTAGATCTTTCCGACACACCTCCGATATCCCCCCGATATCGATGCATGCGCAAAGACGGCGGCGGAGCATCGGGTATCGTTACCGGAGTCGTCGGAACGATGTGTACTAAAATTCTCTGCCGTCGCTCCGCAGCAAATAAGACTTCGGATAAGAATGCCTACGAACGACTCACGAAGCAAGAACCCCGCGGCATGAACTTCCAGATCGAATTTTTCTGCTCAAGTGGTAGTCACGACGGAAAAAGCAAGATAGTATTGCGTTCCTTTTCACTCAAATAAGCCATAAGAATCTCCCAAGTCACCAGTCTCGATCTAAAATGAGCCGCAAAAATCAACGCCTGCACGTAGCAATCTAAACTTTTCGTCAAAGGTGTATTTCACAGGTCGATTTTTTCTTGTAAAATTACAAAGCGTAGCTCTCTTTCTGTAAAAGATAGGACCAAGAAACCTTCCAGGGTCAACGGCGGACAGTGACGCAGACGACCAAGACGAGTAGCAGGGCGGATTTGGCGCTCGTATTGATAGATGGCGCTACCTCCTTATCGAGACTGTTCGCGACCACCGTGGTTTATCAAAATGAACATAATCTTTTTGTGATGTACCTTTGGGTAAAAAATAAATGCCGAAAATAAAAGCAAAAACTAAAGAGAAAAAAAAACCGTTTGCATAACGACGGCGCTTTTGCTGCCAACGGATTTCGTCTGCGTGTCGTCTGCTTTCTTTCGCTGGTCGGCTGCACCTTCGGACGCTGCTCCCGACGCCATCTATCAATACGCGCGCCAAACGCACCCGCAACTCGACTCAGTCGTCTGCGTCGCCGTCCGCCGTTGACTCTGGCACGTTTTTTGGCCCTATATTTTACATAAAGGGAGCTACGCTTCATAATTTTACAAGAAAAAACCGACCTGTGAAATACATCTTTGAAGAAAAGTTTAAATTGCTACGTGCAGGCGTCGATTTTTACGGTCCATTGTAGATCGAGCATGGTGACTTGGAACATCCTATATATACAACCACAATCGTGCTGAACTACCGAAGGTGCTGCTCGCGAGAAGGCAGCACTAGGCTTTGGCAGTGCAGCCAGATGCAAACAATTGGGATGTTTTGGTCTCGAGGGTAAAATAGATTAAATAAATAAAGACAACTTATCCTTGCGGTTCCCAGTATCTCGTGATGGCAACAGGTGGGAGACTGTGAGGCACACTATCCATGTCAAGAGTTTTGTGCGCTTAAAACACTGGCGGTCTCGATTCCCGGGGCTTGGAATTCTTTTTTGCCAGTGTGCCGTTTCTGGAAGATCGGACTCACCTTGACAGTGACGAAGGTGATGTTTTTCTCGAATGTCTCGAAGAAACCGCCAATCACGAGACCCGCCTTCCAGGTCTTGTACTCCGATTTGGACTGGAGACAAAGTGGGGAAGAAGGACGCGCAAGTTTGGTTTGAAAAAAAAAAAAAAAAAACATACCTGCAAACTACTCAATTCGCTAAGTTGAGAGTGATTTGCTGAAGTCGTTTACTAAAGTGTTCGCCACCAAAGTGAGATTAACCTAAGCAAACAATTCGCTGAAGTGCTGTTCGCTGTAAAGCGTCGTACAATCACGCCGGGGTCTTCTTGCCAAGCCAACCCGCGCTTCGAAGTTAAGATGTGAGCCTATGGGCAAAAGGGAACCGGCATATACGTACAACCCATAACGTCTGGTTGAATTGCTAATATTTTAGGCCAAGTCGCAGTGGCTTATTGTTGTAACGATGAGTTAGAATAAGAAATGAAGGGAAACACCTTCTGCGATAGTCTATTTATCGACTCTTAAGCATCATAAGAAACCAAACATTGCACTCTTGCCTGGCCGATTTCTCTATTGAAATCGGTATCAAAGATCTACTATCTTGGTACTATCGCAGACACCAAGGGCGCCGTCGGACGAGAAGTTCTCTGGTGTCCCGCGATAGTATATATATATTTGTATATATATATTAAAAGATGCTAAGAGTGCTACGGAGAGCGTTCAGCGAATGCCGAGGCTGTGAATACGTTTAGAGTTCAAAATGGGACCAAACAAACGGCGTAAAAAGTGCAATGTCACGGTGTTCGCCACTTTTCTGTACGTGTTCTATTATCGCTGAAACAATTAGAAGTCCCGTCATACTTCCTTTAACGCGAGAGAGTAAAGGAGCCCGTGTCACAGAAAAGCCGGCGTCGGTGGCGTGACGGGAAACTTCTCATTAGTCGATAGGGTCGTGACGTCACATTACATGACCTCGCGCGGGAATTTCAAACAACCCACAACGTTCAGGCGAAACGTGACGTCGCGCGTGGAACTAAAGTGATTTAAACGTGACGTGTAATGCGAACTAAAGGTCGCCGCATGGGTCAAGTGATTTCACTTCGTAAATTAATTCAGTTGCCTCACAAAAAAAAAAAAAAAATTAAAGATTTTTAGCCCACAAGCGTGCGGTTGCGAGCCAAACGCGCTACTGAATGGGCCACGCAAAGCACGCTTGCACGGCGACTGAGAAGACGATACGAACGGAACCCGATAAAGCTATCGCATTTCCACTCTTAAAGGAGAATCTTAAGCGTCCTTCAAGTTTTTACAAGTAACCGCGACCAATACAAATCACAAAATGGCGACATTCAGTTGTCTTCTACTGTGCGCCGCCATTCGCTTCCTCAAACCCGCACCGTCACGCAGTCGGCGCTTCAAAAGAATGTCGCTACTTGTAGGAAGCTCTTATCTAGAAACTTAATATCAATCGTATACAAGGAAGACCCATTGACTTGTGCTTTTCGAGCTGTTTGATTGGTCCCATCAAGTTGTAGTGTCGGCTGCGTCTAAACTTTAAATAAAACAAAATATATATTTTTTTATTTTAAAAAACACCTTTGCTGTGGCACTGAACATGTATGTTCAAATGTCATGCTGGGTACCGCAACGCAGACTGTCATTTTAGGCCTAAACATATTCTCATCATTTGCCGAGCTACCACCGCAGATGGCAGCGTCTCCAAACTGATTTTTGCGGGACGCGCTCCGGGTTACTTAAAGCGCACAGCCTTACGCGCAAATAAAACAATAAAAAAAAAACTGGCTTAGTATACTGAGCTATGAACTGCTCACACCAGAAACGGTCGCCCGATCAAGTCATCACTCTAAGACAGCTCTGCTTGAACTCTTATCGCAGATATTTACGATTCTCAATAGACCTTTGCATCGCCTATCACCCGGGCTAAAAATGCTGAGTCATTGAGCCGTGGACGCACGCGCAGCGTCTGATATATCGCACAACAGAGCTACAGCGCATGCTGCGTTCCACAGTCCAGAAGACAAAGATGGCAGCACGCAGAAGCGATTTTTGCAAAGATCTGTAGCCATTGTGGAACAAATGCGTGGCCAGAGAAGAACGAAACGGTTGACCGCGGTATATGATCTAGGACGGGAGGCGTACCCTGTAGCCCAGGCTCTGGACGAACCATTCGCCTCCGATGAAGTTGCACGCCATGTCCACGTCTCCGTTGTAGAAGAGCGTCCTCAGACGCCCGGAATCCACCAGCTCCCGCACAACGTCGCGCACGGACAGGTACTGCTCGGTGTAGTTGAGCTTCGTGCTGCACACCGGGGCGTTTGAAACCGTGCAACACATCACGTTATAAATTTGCATCCTGGTAAGTTCGAGTGCAGTCAAACGTACGGACGACATACAAGCGCGGGTGCAGCTATTACAGCATGTAAACGTAACGCTTCGAGGCATTTCGATCGAGCTCTCAACGTATCGTGCTGCGATTTACTATACAGAAGTACAACCATGCATGCGGTGGAAACATCGAATAAAAATTTCTACGGATAAACTTATCATGTTCAAAATGTTTTGGGCTATTTGCCGCGGCATTCGCAGACAGTTGGATACATTTCTGAACCGTGTAAATGAAAATATTGTTCGGTTGCAGTATTTTTAATCCAAATTCATTGCATTAACCACAGTGCTAAAACAGATTCATACGTGCATTTATGTGAATTGCCGGACACTGTTAGCGCGAACACGGCGTCGGCACTTTTCTGCATGGGCGATTCACGTGCCAAACGAACGAAGGCCATCTGAAAAACCAAGAGAGACGGCCAGAACTACTCAGTAACACGGGATCAGTAACTCCCTGTTTGTGTAGATGATCAAAATTAATTAAAAGCCACGTGACATAGTCCGATTTGCAATAAATAAGTGCCGCTTTATTCTTTCTTCTCGTGGATATGTGCGAAGATGCTGGTTCTGAGGGCAGAACATCACCCGCACGATCGAAATCTTTGAAAACAGGGAGGCCCCAGAAACACAAGTGGCCGATAAATGCTTCCCTGCATAGGAAATAATAAAAAGAGACACCTTTCATAGCCCACGTACTTTATACTTTACGTTTTTTATGTTTTTAACCACTCGTCAAAATGCACGACAGGGTCATTTTCATTTAGTGACAGGACGGGCACATTAGCAATATATAAGCGCAACCGGAATACGGGCGAACTTTGAACATGCTTTACACCCCTTTCGATTATTTATGCTTAAAATCATCGCTCATTTTTACACACTTGCTACGAAACAGAGGTTTGGGCCTGAAATATAGGGAAGTTTAATGTTGTTCATTGAGGAAAAAAAATACTGTAACTAAAGCAAGTACACTTTTATAATGTCGATAAAGCTCTATTCGCTACGACCCACGTAACAAATGTGATTCTAGCCAGGGGCTCCGGAAGCGGGGGGGCAGGGTGGGCTTGAGCCCCTCCTGTCCTCAGGACCGAGCTGCCAAGCCCCCCCTCCCCCTCCCTTTTTTTTTTTTTTTTTAGTTTGTGTGTTTGCAGGTTATCTGTTATGGGCCTTCGGCCTATCTGCTGTACCTCCGTCTCTCCTGAACCGAAATAAATTAAATGAAAATGAAATGACCCTTCTATGCATGCTGACCTACCACCCGCCTCATCTCCGCCAAGCACGAAAAGCACCGGGGCGACGGAGGGACTTGCTTGAAAAGTCAAAACCAGAAGAAAATGACAGGCAGGACTCATGAACCTGATTGACAACCAGTTGAGAGCGAGCAAAGAGGGGACAGCGAACTGAATGGATTCCGACAAGACGACGTCGGCGAGCGTTTGTCTGCTTCCCCGTGTGGAGGCAAGAAGCCCAGAAGATGCATGATGCTTCTGGCCCGCGGGAAAACAGGCAGGCGGTACTACCGCGGCGCTTAAAGGCCATCATTAGGAGAGGGGGGGCTGGTGAACTTGAGTGGGGATTTGGGAGTGCTTAGAAGAGGCGAAAGGGTACGAGCTCCCAATTGTGACAAGGCGCCTTCGATGGCGAAAGCTTTGCGCTCATGCGGCGTTTTGCCCGCAGGGGGGTGAGGTATGAGGCGACACATGTTTACAAAACTCAGGAGAAATATTGAGAAAAGCCGACAGGAAAGAGGAATTTGGTAGCTGGCCTGGAGCTCTGTGTTTGCGTAAATGAGATGCTATTATTTCGCGACATCATTGTGATGTAGTTTGTAAATCTCATATAACACGGATCCACCGTTTTTACTCCGTCGTGTCCTTTTTTGGTGGATGCCTTTTTCGGTGGATGCATGGAAATGATATCTATCAGCCGCGCTTAGCCGCTGCGCAATGCCAAAATCTTAGACTCTATAAAGTGTTTTAAACCGACCCGATGCGCACACGAGGACGTAAGCTGCAGTTAAAAACGGTGGCCCACGAGTGTATGAATATTGGTTTTTACAGTGACTATCCAAGTCTAGCGCTATCACCAGTCGTCGCTGCGTTGATAAAAAAATCTGTGTGCGTGCCACTGGGCAGTGGCGATGCGAGCTCATGATTTTCTGGTATTTGTTTTTCGCCTCTATAACCTCAGTTTAACATCTTATTAGGAAAATGCGTTTGAGGCGGAAATCAGTAAGTAGTTAAATGGTTGGAATGATCCACTCTCCCGTTGCAACCGTCGGATTCAAAAGTGCTGCACACGTCGCGCTGCAACTTTATTCTTTTTTATTTTTTTTTTTTTTTTTGCTGGAGACGGTTCTTTATTAATATTCTCTCCAAGCGCTACATGTTTCAAAACAACTTACAACCAAGGATTTGGAATACAATAATAAGTATAAATATTTAAAAAAAAAAAAAAAAAACACACAGAGCGTTTACTTTCACGGAAAGCGGGGGTTCGCCGACCAGAAGGCAGGTCTCAAACAAATGTATTATGATGATGATGGTTACGTAGAAAATCATCACGAACAACTGAACAATTCTAGCGAATTACCACAATTGGAATAAGATTAAACTTCACAATGCCTTGTACGCTGCGACACTGGGCATGACGTTTTCCTTGCATGATTGTCCTATTGTGGTTTGGATTTCTTATATCTAATTGTTTATATGCCTTGCCCGTGACGCACGACGTTCTTTACCGTCGTACTTTGGTACCAAGCGCCCTATTAATGCAGTGGAAGCTATGTTGTCATTTGCCTCAATGAGTGTTTCAAATCATAATACGTTTGCACACCTAACGTCACGCTGCCATATGCGAAGGACTCCTGTTTGCAGTACAGTATTACGTCAATGCAAGGCATCGATTCCCATCTTCGTTGTTAGCTCTAATTCCTTCGTTGTTCGCTGTGATTGGATGAACCTTCTGTTCTGCAAGAAAATGAACGCGGAGGCTCCTAAACTGTGAAGGCGTCACGAAACACAACATAAAGGGGGATTTCCGCACGAACGAAAGCCAAAGGGGTTTGGGTTTTCGAGTATGAATGGAAACTTCGCAGAGACTGGCTGGTACAGCCTCCCCCAACCCTAACGCCGCCACGAGATAGCCCTCTCTGGTGACACTTTGACGTGTCGGTATACCCTATCCAGGGGAGCCATTCAAGCTGGTCCGTTGTCCGATTTATCTCTTAGCAAGCGGCAATATCTCAATAACTGGGAAATCAAGTGACGTCATTGAGGCTGGAGAGGAGCACTGTACTTACCTATCCTTATCTCGACTTCATTTTTCAAACTAAAGTAAAAAAAAAAGGCTGTTACAAGCCGGCAATATTGACAGTATCACTTAGCGCCCTTAGCTTTAAGATGCGTGATCGATGCTATTCATGTATCGTGAAACCTGAAAGCACTAGGCGGGTGCAACCGGTTCATTCAGGCTAAAATATTGTTTTTAGACAAAACCCCGAGACTGGGTGGGAAAAAAGGACAACACAACACAAAGTCTCAAACACAGCTCTTATCCTTCAGCGCCTTCCTTTTGTGATGCCCCCCAACTTGCATTGACGCCAGGAGTCCGAAGCGATCACGGTCGATGTACTTGATCCTGAGGCACATACCGATGTACGCAATCTCTGCCTCCAGTTGAGAAGTCAATGGTCCAACGTGCTGTGTTTGAGACTTCGTGTTGTGTTGTCCTTTCTCTTCCGCGAGTCTCGGGGTTTTGTGTAAAACTTTTAACACTAGTTTGTCTACGTCTGTGTTAATACATCATGGTTCCCCGAGAATCCCTAAAAGAAGGTACGTTTTCCTTTTTAGACATAGCCAATTTGGCATAAGCACAGCTGCGGTTGATATGTAAAAGCTGGTATAGAAAAGAAAAGAATAAAGAACACATGGGGCGGCTGATTTAAGTGGTTATCCAATCATTGTATGAGTTGTCAGTGCAAGCTTCTTACTGTTATTTTACTGAACCATTGGTTTACTTTGTTTTCTATGGATAAGTGCGTGAATATGTGAACGCGCTGCATTAATATGTTTTCATTCAAATATGGCAATTAATGTCAACCTGGAACCAACCTCGAGGATTTCAGGGATGTCGAGCCCCCCCCTCCAAAGAAAGACTTCCGGAGCCTCTGATTCTAGCTGTTATTCTCCGGCAAGGAGACAAAATGCACGCGCGTTTTCGCACAGGAGCACCACTAAAGTAGACTAGTAGCTGTCTGCTTCAATTTGCATTCCGGAAGTCGCATAGCGCCAGTTCAAACTCTAGCGTGCATTATAATAACTTTATGTGCTGTTACATGAGCGCTGCGTCATGGAATGGTCCTTCGGCTGCACTCTATATACAAGGAGAACCTAGTCACGCGGCGCAAGGCCTGTGGCGGATTGGATCTGCCAAAACGTTTTCATTGTCTCCGATTTGCTTGAAATTTTGCTAAACTAACCAACAAACATTGCTAAAATAGTATCCCAAATATTAGGAAAAAATATTGTTTTTTCGCGAAGTTATTGAATTTACAGTTCTGGTCTTCACCATGTTTTTCAAACTGAAAGTCTCTACTGGCAACAACAACAAAGTGACGTCAGTGGAAGGCAGTGGTTAATAGCGAGTTCGTTTCACGGCACTCGTGCCCACGCGTGCCCACTCGCAGCGTGGAACGGGTTGGTTTGGGCCGGCACTCCACGAGTGGTTGCACTCTCCGAGTTCGTTTCAGCGCTGACACCCCACGCGTGCATGCACTCGCTGCACCGAGAAAATCGGGAGTGCGCCAAAATGCAATCCCGTCATGCCTCGCTCCGGCGGGGCCGGCGAGGAGCGGGAGCAGACGACGAGGGTTCGTCTGCTACGATGTGTCGCGGAACCGAAAGGAAAAAAAGGTAGATTTTCTGATAGAAATCGCATCCCGCGGGCAACGGAATCAAACGCGGGCTTGAATTGTGAGCGTCTGCTATTTCACGAAGGAAGCAATTGACAACCCGTGATTTATTTGCAGGTTTTAAATCGCTCTGTTGCCGTCCAAAGGCTGAAATATACCAGTGTGTAAAGAAATGCTCAGAACAAACGCAACAGCGGCCCCCGAGATGTCTATCACCATCCGTGTGCGGGTGAAAGATTTAACATTTGTCGACAAAACTCCCCCAGCAGAAACCTCTGACTGCCCAATAAGCATCAAAGAAAGCTAAAGATGGAGACTTTACCCGAGGGTGGGGCAACATGATCATGTTTAACATTTACCTACGTCAGCTAACTTGCCCCGTCGTATTTTGTTCGAAAAAGCTCTCGTTCTCGACGCCCTCACCAAGGCTAATATCTAATCCTGACGATCGAAATCGAAAGTCCCAGTTTTGCTGGATATTCCAACAGGCTAGTTTTAAGCCGTACCCTTTCAGTGGTTCACAAATAATACCATGCTCAAACGGATCAAGCTTCTGCTCGGACAGCATCATCAGTTTTCTTCAGTGTAAACGGTTATAAGAATTGAAAGATCGCAACCAGCTGCTTTGTAGACAGCTGGTTGCGGAAACTTACGCCGTCTGTAACTATCTCTACGGCAGCCTAGCTGCTTGAAGTCATCGAAACTATAAACTACAGGTTGCAGCGACCAACGTTTGTAGATAAACGTTGGTAGCGACTGGCATTCTCGCATTCCCACGGATCACTCCGAACAGAAAGGTGCTAGTTTCGGTTTGAAGTCGGTACCTTTTCTACAACATAGTGGCGGCAGCGTCAGTCTTCTGCACTCAGGGCATTTGGCGAGTTCGTTTGAGTCCAGTTTTCCGTGCAACACTCTGTGAGTGCGATGCATTCTGGGAGAGAACTCGAACGGTGCCAGTGCGTGTGAAACGAACTCGCTATAACTTTTTGGACTACAGAAGTTGTTCCCAACGGATTTGAAGCAGTTTCTTGGTGTCAAATGAGTGCTTTGGAAGCTCGCTCCCGTATCCGCGCTCCAGCACGGAACAAATGATTGGCATATTCTGTTTTTAGACTACTTGCTCGACTGGCAAGCCTGCCTGCCACTGACGTCACGGCACTGAAAAGTGCGCGAATATTTGAATATTCGTTTTTGCACCATTTTCATTTGCCGATTTCACAATACCTATTATGAATTTCGCGATGCTGAATAGCATACCGGAAAGGCTAAAGGCCGGGGAGTCAGAAAATATAATTAGTTGAGGTAGCTGAAAAAATCGGTGGAGTACCCCATTAAGAGTCAACATCGGAGTGGACTGTACGAGAGGCTCAGAAGTGTTGTGACTCTCTCAGCATCTTTTGAAATGGTCGACTCCCGTTCGGACGTCCGTCGACACGGTGTTACCTTTCATAACGTGTCTTGTCTAAAGGCGCGTTCACACCGGCGATATCGAGCACTTGAAAAATGCGACTAGATTGCATCGCAAATGTCGGGTCAACTAATGACTGCTCAAAAGGCGTCGTTTTTCATTTTTTATTTATTTTTTTTTTTTTTTTTTTTTTTTTTTTTTTTTTTGCGATGGTTGTTTTTGCGAGGAAAGTTATCGCGCGAGTGCTGCATATCGCCGGTGTGAACGTGCTTTAACGGATCGGCAAGTCTTACCTGCAGGGCTCCCATTTGGCGGGTGTTTCCTGGACGTGTAGGGCCTCCTTGACGTCGTTCCGGTTGAAGTAAAGGTCCAGTCTTTCTTCGCTGACGCAGTTGGGATTATCGATGTTCATCGGTTCGGGCTGTGCAGCAAAGAGTAATATGTCATTGCAGTGGGTGGAATATGCCTGAACGCTAATATACATATAGATATATATAAAAAAGGGAGCGGACCGCTGCGACTGCGCAAAAGCGACGTACATGGGGAGGGAAAAGTTTACGCCAGACATATCACTGAGACGCGTGCTTTTCCGTGAAACGGCAGCATGCCCTTCTAGTGTCCTCAAGACATTTGTACGGTTCCGTATTTTCGGGGTTTATTTATTTTTTTATTTTTTTTCTCCCACGGATTCGATGTCTTCTGGTGTCTTTTCGGTGTAAGACAACAAACAAAGATCGGCCTTTATCGGGGCCCAACACCAACTTCTAGCGAGCTGCTATGGAACCCGCTGGTAGATTTAAAGAGGTTACGAAGAGCCTTTTTTTTTATTATTATTATTATTTTGTCGCGCGTGCAAACGCCAGCTAGCATTCGCTTCTCTAAACGCGCGAGCATGGGGCGGTTTTGGACCGCTCCAAATCTACCACCAGAATTAGCCATTAGAAAAAGCCCGGTATCAGTGAGGGAAGGAAACAGGGGAAAGGGTGCAGTTCCCGAGGAAGCAGGCGAGCAACTAAGTGTGACACCTGTTCCGGGTCAACACGAAGTACACCTGTAGATAATGATTTCTTTCCGCGAAGCTTAATTGGGCCTTTCATATTCAAGGACAGCTCTAATTCGGCGTCGTTTTCTCCGATTTTGATTTAACTTTCGGGCTTTATCGGTATTTACGGAAACACGGCACCCTATAAATAATAGCGTCCCTGGTTGCAGACAATGCAGCGTAAGATCGCCTTGTGTGTCTTCTGGCATAAAACCAAAAGTCCAGTTAAAAGACACGAACGAAAACTGAACAAATATGCTTTTCAGACCGTCACTTCCGTTTGCTATTCCCAGCTCCAACCTTGAGCACCAACAGTCTTTTTCTGTCCTCTGTTTCACATTTCGGCCGCCAGGCTTTGTCAGTTTTCGCAGCACAATTGAAAAGGCGTTAGTTCCCCTTCGCTCCCCGTCACGTCTTCGTGGAGCGAAAGCTCGCGCTGCAAAACCCAGGAACCCTGGGTTCACTCTCCACCCCTGCCCGTTTCGATCTGGATGAGCATCACCGGCGTGCAATCGCGTGTCAGTATACTGCGTGGTGCGCGTGAATTGGGGTTTTCGGGATATTTATACAGCGTGTAGTTGGTCTGCCATTAAAGTTGCGACGAGTCACACGCTGTAGATGAGCAATTTAGCCAGTGCAGTACAGCCGCTAACCTGGGGTCTTTAACGTGCACCACGCAGTAGTGATACACGACCGCACGCCGGTACGATGCTCATCCAGATCGAAACGGGCAGGGGTGGGGCTCGAACCCAGGATCCCTGGGTTCTGCAGCGCGAGCTTTCGCTCCACGTGCTCCGAGCTGGGTGGTGGTGCGCGTTAAAAACCCCAGGATAGCGGTTGTACCGCATTGGCTAGATTGCTCAACTATACAGCTGAGACATCAGACGCTTACTGAGGCAGACGAACTTCCGGCTGTATAAACATTTGCACGCCACGCTCTCAAGAAAAGAGGGTGTAAAATGGTGTATCGTTACACCCTTTGTCCCTTATAATACACCCCAAAACTTCAATTCGACGTACAGCGCCCTACAGTCGAACAGACGGCCCGAACTTTTACGACGGGCTTGATAGCCGTGTGGTACAACTTATTAAAATAGCTAATGTACGTTTTACTGACAACAAAAAAAAATAATAATCGGGGTTTTCTTGGCTCTATTGTAAAAACTCGGTGTTTTCTTTATGTGGTGGTTGATACATACTTTAGCTATTTAAAAGGTTGTATGTACCACACGGCTATCAAGCCCCTCGTGAAGCTTCGGGCCGTCTGTTCGACTGTAGGGCACTGTACGTCGAATTGAAATTTTGGGGTGTATTATATGCGACAAAAGGTTTAACGATACACCTTTTTACACCCTTTTTTTCTTGAGAGTGCAATTGTTTTTCCGTCTTTTCCGCTTGGTGGCGTCGCCTCCTATGGAGTTGCGTCAGCTGCGTTAGATTGCATCACTGCATCAGCTCTAGGCGGACGGTTCCCGAATTGTCACTAGCTTAACTCTAACCGGGTACAAAAGAGGTCAAAATTTCAAGAGACCAAAACGTCATCAAGCAACATTGCCGGTCGCCATTTTTTTTCTTTGGGGGGGGGGGGGGGGGGGGAGGGGGGGGGGAGGGGAGGCCAGAAGAGTGACGGGATCAGAGTCCTCGCCAAAACGTTGACTTAGCCAGCGTTCAATACAGTGATCAAACCATGGTGGTATCGGATAATGTAGCGCTTCGGCTACTATATTCCCGTTTCACTTAAAAGTCCGACCGAAGCCAATAGACCCCTTTCGAAAGTCACTTGCCGATCGTCAGAAGGTCGGAGCCACTGCGCAATGGCGGAGCAACCTACACCGCTGAACGTGCAAATCTAAACTAGAATGAACACAAAGGCACGCAATAAAACCGCGTAAGGTCACGGTGCATGCCTGCGCTCGATCGGTTTAGCCGATGATAACATATACGCGCTGGAAGACAAACGAGCGCCGTGACGTTGCGCTTTTGGCGCTCAGTGTTTGCATCCATCGTCTCGTATATAATAAAGCGTTGGCTGTGCTGTGTGTTATCCGTGTCCACCATCGTGCAGGGATTCCCACAGTTTCCAACAGAGGGAAGATTTTCGAAAAGGGTATATTAAACTATCACCACGCGGTGATATCCCACACTGCCTGGTGATAGTTAGGGGGGGGGGGGGGGGGTCATTGACTTAGAAGGGCGGTGGGAATCATGTGTTTGTCTTTTGAGATTTAGGATATAGGTGGCGCGAGCTATCGCCCGTTACAAAGCTTATATCCATTAACATTTAACCACCATCCATCCAGCCAAACCACCGAGGACAACGAGAGCCGTGATGATGCACTTTTGATGCTGTTTGATTGGCTTAATTCATCGCATCGTAACGTCGGCTACCCTCGGACTTATCGCACACACTTTTGAAGAAGGTCTATAGACCACCATCGAAAGACTGGCCTCCGTTGGCAGCTGTCAACAGCTGTGGAATCCCTGCACAGTGGCGGACTCAAACCGCAGCGTCATATAAAAGGGTCGATTGCTGGGCTAGTTGGTTGTTGAACGACATTAACATTATTAAAAACAGCGCAAAAAGACGAGACAAAAGTAGGAGCACAAAGGACGGACGCCGACAAAGCAGCATCCGTCCTGTGTGCTCCTTCTACTTTTGTCCCGTCCTTATGCGCTGTTTTTAATAATGCCGAACAACGTCACGACATACTTTATCCCCTTTTTGGTTAAATTAGAGGCCAAAAACGCACCCACAGAAAAATGTGACGAGCGTAGATTGGCTAGTCGGTTACCAGCTTCGGCGTTCGCTATGTTATGGAATATGACTCGCACGTACCACAATGTCAGTTGTTCCGCCATTGTGCGGTGGTTCCGACCTCCTAATAATCGGCACGTGAATTCCGGAAGGGTTCTATCGACCCAAATTCGGGGGGAATGAAGAGGCTCGAGGGGAGAAATTTACCGAGTCGGCACGATTCAGCGAGCTGATACGGTTCAGAGACTTCATGATGAGCCTTTGGGCCTTGTGCTGACTCATCGACCTTTTTTTCGGGGAAGCAAAAGCAACCGGTTCGGGTTCATCTCCGTAGCTGCACGGGTCGTACAGGTTGTACACGTTCAGCCCTCCGTGGAGGATAATGTTGTTCGCTTCGTCCACCTGCACAAATACATAAAAGAGAAAAGAAAAAGAATCTTGCAAAATTAAAGTTTTTTTTTTAACACAGTTTTGAGACTTCCGGGAAACCAAAAGAACAACAGATTTACGAGTGGTTTTTGTTTCCGGTTTCGCACTCCCAGAACGTGTTATATCAGCCTAATTTTATGACCTCAAGCGCAAGACCGTCGTAAACAAATATGAAAAAAAAAAAAAAAAAGCCGAGACGACAAAGTGCAGCAAACCTTTGATGTCACGTAACATCGTGACGTCACGAGACACAACTGTTGTCCCTCAACACTGATGTCACGTGCACCTTGAGGTCACGCGATATCATGACGTCACGTGACTGTGACGTAACACAACACCACGAGGTCGTGTGACGCCAGCCATGTGACCCGTGTCCAGCTCATTCCTTACGTGCTCCCCTCAGTCATTGCCAGCATGATCAAGCTAGTGCAATTTTCTTCGTTTTTTGTTGATATTTTAGGTTGGGGAATGAAGACACACCAGGGGACGGGGAAAACTTGCACACGGCACGTGCTGTTGTTATGCGAGTCATGCTGGCTAATAATTACTCACCGCTTCGTTGCATTTGTCGTCTGTGATGTCCCAGCCGAAGTTGCAGTCCTGAGCAAGCTGGGAACCGTTGCAGCAGTGCTGAGTCAAGGCAGTCCACAATCTGCATGCAAGCGGGAAACACAACAGATGTCTCCACCGTTTGGCTCGAGATCCATTCGACGACGACCAATCAGTCGCACCGGGAAGGATGCACATGATTGATTAAACTGCGCTGCGAAGAATGACAAAAGAAAAAAAAAAACACCGGGACTGGACACCACATGCTCAAGTAAACGCAAACTGTTTATTTTTCCTTTTTCACAACAGTTCAGTCAAAGCACGAAAAACAACCAACTGGCCCAATCGAGCACTGCTAGATGCACACGAGTCACACGCATCTACCGAAGTCGTGTACATAAATAAAAAAAAAGAGAGCATCTCCCGCTTGCATACGACGAAATGCGATCTGTTGTATAGTCTCACTGGACGTGAACAGGTCTGCCCAAACAAAAACGAAGTTCATGAAAAGTACTGCCGAAGAGGTATACCGATTGTGAGAGGATGACGAGACGTACGGAACGTACGTAATGGGCAAATGCGAAGGTTGTGCAGAGAACGAACATTGGGAATGTCGAAGTCGAAACAGCGCAAAAGACGGAAGACAAGTGGAAGGATTGCACAAGCACAGCGCTGTCCATGTCGCAGTAGAAAAAAAAAAAAGACAGTTTAAAAGACACGACCAACAAACTGGCCCAACTCCACGCATTGTTGAACACAGGGAAAGCAGAAATGAGCAGAAGCAGCGCTACTCGCTGATCAGTGACGTCGAAACAAAGCGGAGTGGTGGCAGGGGAGAGAATTAAGACCCCCCCCCCCCCCCCCCGAATCTTTCTCCACACACACAGACACACTCACTCATCTCCAGAACACTTCCCACGCTGCTGCAAATGTAGTGCTGGAGATTATGCTACTATCGCGGACAATATAAATGTGAACCTTCCAGTTTTTGGAGAAGCTCTAGTTAACAACGGTGCCTGAGCGCGATGTTTACGCCTCAGACTCTGAAGTCCACGGTGGAAGCGGAGAGAGGTTTCTGAACGGCGCCGCGGCTCCACGGAGCAAGCGTGGCGAATGTTCGCTCGCGTTTCTGACCGACGCCGTGAGATGACGCAGCATATGTACGGGGCCGTTACGGCCGTTAGAGCAACCAGAGCATACACAGATACTCTAGGAGCCGCCACACGAATTGTATTTTTCAGTTGTCGAGATTAGTAAATGAAGGCTTGTGCTTAGCGGCGATATAAGAATCGTTGCCCTTCTCCATTAATTTAATCGGAGATAAGCCATTAGTTCGAATTACATATACCTTTGCCTAGGGGGCGCAAGCCGCCGCCCGATTACAAGGTTCCAGCCGTATCCATTCATCCATAATAAAAAAAAACAAGGTTGCAAAAAAAAGAAAAAACCTTGAAACAAAGGAAACAAAAAGGACAGACAGCACAGTCTCATATAATTTTTGTTTCCTTTTTCGCTTAGGGTTTTTTGTTTTTTTTTTATTGTGACTGTGCACCAGCTCGCCTACGCTTTGACCCTTCTTTCCATCCAGCCATTCATCGATGAGAGCCAATCAAGAAACCACGCATACGTTTACAAGGCAGTCCGGGTGCTCCTGCAGTGAGATGCACGAAGCCCGAGCAAACTTATGCCCCTTGGCTGGCCTTGTTCAGACAGCTTTTTCTATTTTTCCACCGTGCTGAAGTCTTCGACAAATTGAAGAAAAATTGAGTTTGCGGGCACCACAGGCGCAGCAGAAGGTAACGAGGGCTGCACACCTTACCTTTTGCTAAGTAGGGGAGGGGGAGGGGAAGCGAATAATGCCATATTCAATTCGAAGTTGAAATCAAATAGGGCTACTCGTCAACTTTAAATATATTCGAAGCATTTCGAAGTCTAAAATGCTGCAAAGCATTTCAAAAAAAAAAAAAAAAGGCGAACGAAAACAGTATGCAATACCTACTTGAAATGAGTTCACCGACCAAGCCTGGAACAGTAGCAATAAAAACAGAAGCAAAAAGTCTAATCTCTTGAATCTTTTGTGGATTGCGTTTCTAATAGCCAACACAAAGTGTTTATGCAAATAAGTCTCCAGCTTTTTTTTTTTTTCGCTTTAAAAGCCGTGTTTTTTGTGGACACCCTCTGTTCATTATTTGTGATCTGGACTTTGATTCACTATCATGGAAGACTTTCTGGGTAACGGAAGTGTTCATATTAATAAGACATGGCTGCATTAAAATAAAAGTAATTGTGCAGACGAGCTGGGGTACAATCATGGTAGAGATCCCATCAAACCTTGTCGTGTCTTTTTTTCCCCCTTAGTTTTAAGGGTGTTTTGCCATCACTGTATTTAGGGCCGCCAAGTATTCGCTTCGCTTCCTAAATTATTCATTTTGATTCGAAAATTTTCGTACAAAGGAACTACTCGTTTCGTAAATTCGTTTCAAACTGAAAAAGTAAAATCACTTTTTGCAAATTTTTAAAGACTATACCTTTGTCCAAAGAGACCGTGGTAGTTGCCGAAGAAGATGAGAGAGTTTCCCAGGATAGGGAAGTCCACGGCACCGTTACCGATGGCGATGCCCTTGCAACCCGCACACGGAGGACCAGAAACAAAAGATTCCGGGAGCGCACGTTTATAGCAAAGAGCCGGGTGCGTCATATTACCGCAATTTGCGGACAAGACTCGTTCAAACGGCCCCTCCAACGACACTTTCGAGGTCATCTAGAACATCGTCAAACGTCTTTGCGAAGTCGAGTCGGAAACATGTTAGCCTAAAGCTTCGGTCACACTGCGATTACATCATTCAGAAAGACGGTCTTACACTTATGATAGGTGGCGCAAGCTACCGCCCATTACAAAGGGTATAGCCATTAGCATTCATCCAACATCCATCCGGTCTGCAAACGCTCCCCCCCCCCCCCCCCCCTTCCCCCGAATCAAAATCCTGGCTGCGTGCCTAATGTATGTACAGTGTGACTGCTGCGCTTCGACGCCATTTTGGCTCTTCAAAGAGACAGTATGAGGAGAGCAAGTCGTCTGCTTTCTTGCGCAGGAGTTGCGATGACGTCAGAACGACGCCAAACTCTGATTTGCTTTGATTGGAAGGATAGAGGGTAGACCTCAATGCTAGATGCCTTGAGGTCTACCCACTATTTTGTTCAATCAGCCAATAAGAGCTCGGCATTATGCAGTCATCGCAACCCCTGTGCAAGAAGCAGAGGAACTTGTGATCCGCATAGCGCTGCCGGGAAAGGACTGTACTGAGTGCAAAACTGTTTCAGACTAATGATTCTTCGGGCGTAAAAGGGTTATACTCCGCCGTTTTCTTCCGGGGCCCCCGATTTATTGCAAAATTCACTAAACACTCCAACGAGCATCGCTAAAATAGTAACCCAAATATTAGGTCAAAATATTTTTTTTTTCGCAAAGTTATTCAATATTCAATTTTGTTCCTTGACTTTTTTTTTTTTTCGAATTGAAAGTTTTTGCTTGCAACTATAAAAAGTGACGCCAGTGGCAGGCGGTCGCTCACTATGTTGGCAGTAGAATTTGTTCCCAACTGGTCACGAGAAGTTTGACGGTGTGAAATGAATGCTTTGGAAGCTCGCCCCAGAAGAACTCGCGCAGCAACACGAAACAAATGGGCGGCATACTCTGTTTTCTACACTCCGCATGCCTGGCAGTGAGGTCGCGGTACTGAAAAGCGCGGGTAGATTTGAATGTTGGTTCGCTCAACGTCGCGTCTTCATTTAGGCCTGCTTCACAATAACAATTTTGAATTTAGAGATACTAAGTAGCATTCCGGAAAGAGTAAAGGCTGGGTGTTCAGAAAGTATAGTTAGTTTGGGCACGGCCGGCCTAGATCGAAAAGGCGCTCTTTCTTACGGCCTTCAGACTAGGGGGTAGTTTCTCTCTCTCATCGCCGCTCGGTCGGGTCGCTGCGACCATCATTCCTACTCACCTACACACCCTTATCTCACCGTGCTGGCCTCTTGGCCCCGGAGCTGAGTTGGATAAATTTCCAAACTAGCCAGAGCTAAAGGTCTTGAAGGAGCGCTGACACCCCAAAGGTCGTATTAGTTTTTATTGTCTAAAACGATGCAAGTTATAGTCATAGAAGAGAAAAAAAAAAACGCACCACGAAAAAAAAATTTCTCCGCGCGCGCGCGCGCCTTTTTATTTTTGGCGTTTATGTTTCCCGCGCTCACTTCCTTGCTTCTTTTGATCGGTGACGTCAAAAATCAGGAAATTTAGAAGCTTTGTAGGCGACAGTTCTATAACATTTAATAACAGCAATCGTAAAACATGTTTTTTAACGCAATTGCGAACGCACTACGGCCCCTCCTTTTAAAATACCAAAAATCAGAATTCGATGTGATGTCGCTTCCTGGATTTGTATCCTCCCTCGGAAAACTTGGCGGCGCTCAAGCAGAGGCTTATCGGTGAGTCGGGGAAGAAACCATTTTTTTCCCGTACCGGCGCCCTTCTATCCCGCCTGGTCACCTCCTCCTCGCTTCGGGTCGCGGTGGCAACGGCGGAGGTCCCAAAAAAAGTCGAGTCGCAGGAGAACGCAAAATTCAACTCTCTGCACTGGCGCGGATCACGCGGGAAATTCAAATTCGGCATTTGGATTTTTTTTTTTTTTTTTTTTTTTTTATTTAGAAATACTGAATTCCCATGTTTCGAATTTTGAGGGTAACGTCCCGGCATTGTTTTCGATCGTTTCGGATAATGAAATAAAATATGATTTTGATGTGTCGGTGCCCCTTTGAGGCCGCCTGCCTGCAAGGCACTTCCTGCATAACACTGCAAAACACTTTTTTGTCTTTAAAAAAAATGTATACAAACAAGCGTTGACTTATTATAAGCCAAAAAGCATTTCCATCAGCGCACCACAGTTGTTTCGTGAGTACATTGGCACACAGTTTCAATCACGGTGGTCGTTCAGCAAAGACCAGAAGGAATGCCGTTGTCTAGCCCGGCCGTGGTTTGGGTAGCTCAGAATATCGTTTCGACATGGGAGCGATATTCGTTCCAATCGAAGTGCCCCTATAATGTCCCATATGCCACAGTCACACTCCTCACACATCATACAAAATACAGGATGTTCGCGGCTGAAAGCGCCCACGTGGTCCAGAAGTGCATCAAAAGTCCCGGTACCTTGAACTGCATGCCGTTGGGGTTCTTGAGGACCCTCGACGCCAGCGTGGGCACGTAGACGCCCGCGTAGCTCTCTCCCGCGATGTAGAAGTCGTTCTTCTTGTACTCGGGGTACTTCTCGAAGAAGTCCTGGACTGCCAGGTAGTTGTCATCCGCGGTCTGGGTGTCGTCCGTCACGTAGACGCCCGTAGGGTCGTACGAGTAGCCGACGCCTGCCGGGGCTTCGAGGAACAACACGTTCGCCACCTGCAGCGTGTTTTTCAAATCACGTTGCTATTCGCGATGTTTTGACTACGCTATTAGTATAGTTCCGTGTTTTTTTGTGTTTTTTTTGGGGGGGTAATTTTTTTTTTACGCGTCTTTCGGTACCTATATCCAATGTCAGACAAGAAAAAAAAAACAAAAAAACGGCGTTTATTGGGACATTTTTCTTATTTTTTAAAAAACTAGAACACGGTTGTGGGATGCCCTAGCCCAGTCGCAAGAGCCGTGCCCGCAGAACCCTCCCCCTCCCCTGCCCCACCAAAAAAATGCAGTCATGCCGACACTTTCGTGGTGGCTTTGTTTCATGCCAACCAAAAAATAAAACTAAAGCAGTGCATTAAAATTTTCTTCATTAAAGCTTGCGTTTTTTTTTTTTTTTTTTTTTTTTTTTGTGACAGTTGCGATTTGGAGTTTTTCGGTTTTCCCCTATCTTGGTAAAACCTGCTCGGGGATTACTTCAAATCAAATCAAAGCTTTATTTTCCAGAAACACTGGAAGGAGTCCCAGACAAAAAACTGCTGTCGGGGTTTACCGGTATATATAAGACCTAAAACACGAAGCCCATGGATAATAAAGTGATATTGCCGCCCTCAAGGCCGAGAAAGCAACGCTCGGTCACAGACTTCTATACCTTGTTTCACCTTAGGTCCGGGCGTGGCCGATGTTATCAGCCAAAGGGCCAATTTAACGGCGAAAAAGGTACACCGTCATGGCTTGCTCCCCGCAGTTCATAGGACCAGCGTTGTTCGCCGTCTTTCAGTGCATGCTCTTCCGCCGGCTCGTCCTATCAAGAGCGGAAAACGCCATGAGGATGCGCTTTTCGCGCTCTTTGATTGGACCTTCGGCTCATAATAACGGCCACGCTCGGACCAAAGCTGAAACCAAGTATAAAAAATCGCGTCCATCCTCGCACCAGACGTAACTTTCCCCCTGCTTTCTTGTTCTCGAAAGTGCCAGTTTATCCTCGCCCCGAGCGTGCGACGCTCGAACTTTCTTTGCCGAACTTTCGAGATAACGACGCACTGTAAATAAGCAGCTACCCGCGACATTGTCGAGTCAGTCTCGCTCGTGCTCTCAGTTATGCCGCCGAATCGCCGCCTGCTTTTTTGCCACCTCGACACTTTTTCTTTACTTAATTTGGTTGGCACAAGTTCGCCAATTAAACCTTTACTTTCAGTTCACGGTTCGTCTTCTCGTCACCTTCATTCGTGCCATTTCGCCACCTGAATTCTAAACAGGTATACAGTAAAATTTCCTGTGCCTCGGATCAAACCGAAAGCGGTAATAGGGACTTTTAGCAAATTGTTTCCTTGCGGTACGCGGAACATGGTAACGGTTTGCTAAAAATACCTATTAATTCTATCAACGTCAAAAGAACGTCGCTTTTAACCGCTTCATCGGAAGGCCCTCCTAGGTCTGGGTCGCTAAACTCATCGAACACAAAGTTTGGGCCGAAGTTCGCCGAGCGTGCACATTGAACTCTTGCAACGATATGGCGTCACGCGGGACGAGATGTCAATCATCCAAACTCTCTCGGTGCTCAAATTCCAGAGATTCATCGGAGCGCGCGTGGGGCCACGGTGTTGCGCCCGTGAGGCCCTTCAATGAAAAGCGCCACGAAGAGGGATCTGCGGATTTGTGAGTAAAGAAAACTTCGCGACAATCGTTCGGCTCCTCCCTTTACCGTGTCATAACACGAATCTTTGTGTTTGGCGAGTTTAGCGACCCTTGTCAAGGGCTTCCTGTGGAAGCAACATTCAGACTAGGGTCACACTGCTCATACATCATACAAAAGACAGCCCGCAAACACGAGTCGCCCCAATATCCGTGGCTCGAATGCCTTGTGCCAATCTTTATCCTTCAACTCATTGCCACGCGGCATTCGAAGCACGGATATCGCGGTGACTCGCGTTCGAATCTGTATACAGACTTTTTTTGTATGGTGCATAAGCAGTGTGACCTCGGCTTTAGGACTCCCACTCCATAGGGAGTATTCACTGGCGGCCATAGCTGTGTGCGCGAATGCTGAGCGCGTGCTGATGGCGAGCTTCCACAGTTCTTTTGCAACGTGCATTCCGCACCATCGAGAGTGCCGGTCTTAGCGGCCTATCGATGCGAGTTCGTTCTGAGCATGCGCTCTAAACAGCACCCACAAATATGGCGTCCAGTGAATACTCCCTACAGTTTTATTGGTGTAACTTCTCTTGAACAGGAAGCTTGACTGAAATCTGAGCGATTGTCGACGTGCGCGAGCAAAAGCGTCGCTTTGATATGCCTTCCACGTCTTGAGTACGATTATTTCTGCTCTCGTCGACAGAAATAAGAGCAAAGTCAGACTCTCATCTGCTACAGTGCTGATTTAGAAACGTGGCGAGATTATGCTTCCGCCGCGCTTTTTACGCACCATCGAACTTGTCACTCGCTACTTATATGATTGTGACGTCAGGAATAAAGCCTGGTTCAGACAGTTGCGTTTGACTGCGTTTGACTGCGTTGCGGCAGCGAGAAACCAGGACATCGCTGCTGCTTATATCGCGTGCCAAGATGATTCCTAGAATTGGATTCCACGCTTCATACGAAGCACAGATGTGCCGGTGACTCGCTTTCGGTACTCGACGCAACGCAGTCAAACGCGCTCAAACGCAAGTGTCTGAATCGGCCTTAAGAACCACAAGTATATATCTTCCGCTTCCAGCGCGAGCTCTACCTTTGATAACGCTTCGTCCCACATGCAGTCGAAAGCCCTGGTGCGAGACAGCGAGCGCGCGCCGAGGTCTTGGCCTCTGACGGCTAGTTGAAGAAGTACTCGCCTTGACCCAGGTGTCGGGATTGAGGGTCATATTCAGACCCAGGTCCCCGACGCGGAAAGGACCCAGCTCGCCGACTGTGGCCACCAGGGAACTGCATCCGGGTCCTCCGTTCATCCACAGAAGCACCGGGTCGGACGACGGAGACTGCTGGCTCTCGAAGAACCTGACGGGGGAGTCCAAAACTCGTGAACCAGGAATGCTCGCGACACATTTAGCCATCGGAAATGGGCTTCCTAACAAAACTTACAAAAACAAACAAAACAAAAAAGCCCTATTATTTTAGTGGTAGTGTTCAGGAAGACAACCGGTAAGGCTGGATTGAATATTGGTCATACCATCACCTAAGCTCAAATCACCGCCTAACATATCAACACCCCCTCCCCCCCCCCCCTTCCCCCCCCCCCCCCCAAAAAAAAAAAACAGTCTGGTTGGGACACGAATGTCGAGAAATAAATTTTACTAAAAAAAAATTTAGAGCAATAGTGACGGCGAGAGATTTTTTTTTAAATTCTGCGCGCGAAGTCTATGACGTTATGGGTCATTCCAAAATGACCCTCTCGGTCCATCTCGGTCGTGAAGGCGAAGCCGATCCCCCTCTCCTCCGCGCGCCCGAAATGCCGAGAAAGAGAGTGGAAATCACGTTTTGCGCCGGCAATGTTGCGCTAACTTTTTTCCCCCCGTAAAATCACCTTTTTAACACGCGTGTCCCAACCAGACTGTTAATTCCTTTTTTTTTTTTTTTCTTTTCAGTTTTTTTAAACTGTTTTTCAAAACCTGAATTATTAATTCAAGTTGGATATTTAATGGCTTTGTCTTTGGGGAGTTTTCGTAGACCGCTCCCGATGGAGTATCTCAATAGGGAGTTTTCGTATACCGTTTTCGCCGTCCCGCAACCCTCTCCGCAACCCGCTACGATACCCAGGACTCTACATCCAAGGCCTTCGGCGCGCAGTCGGAGTAGCTGCTTCGTGTCGGTGGGCTTAGCGGAGGGGGAAACGCGGTCTAAGAAAACTTCCTAATGAGCAGCATTAGAAAGTTTTCGTAGACCACGTCTTCACCTCCGCTAAGCTCTCCGCAACGAAGAAGCCGCTACTGCGCCTGCGCGCCGAAGGCCTTGGATGTAGAGTCCTGGGTATCGTAGCGGGTTGCGGAGAGGGTTGCGGGACGGCGAAAACGACCTACGAAAACTCCCTATTGCAACTCAAGAAGATAGGGTCGGGGAGGAGGAAGCGGACGGAACGCTAAAGAGAGAAGGAGGTTTCCCCCTCCCTTCTCCAGCGTTCCGTCTGCTTCCTCCTCCTACGAGCAGAGTAGCGCAATCGAGAACGCCGTCCCTCGGCGACTAGCGGTGAACGCCCGAGGGTTCCAACTCCAGTCACAAATGCATGGGGAACGTGAGAAAATCGCCGTTTCTTGAATATTTTGGGGATGTACGGAACGACAATAGTTTTTGACATAATCCAGAAACAGTTTACAATAATTTGTGCTACGTTCTGTGCCATGCATACCTCGGCAAACCTCACTAATGAGGGCCCTCACTCACCGTCATCTTCACAGGTGAGGTGAGGGTGAGTGCGTTTCTGAACCAGGAACATTCATGAGTGTGAGGGTGAGTGAGGGCCGTGAGGTCTGTGAGGACCGTGAGGGCCATTAGGGCGGTGAGGGGCGTGAGGGCCATGAATGCGTGAGGGGTATGAGGGCCGTGAGGGCGGTGAGTGCGTGTCGGGTGTGAGGGCCATGAGTGCGTGAGGGGCGTGAGGGCGGTGAGTGTGTGAGTGGCATGAGTGCGTGAGGGGCATGAGGGGTGTGAGGGTTGTGAGGGCGGTGAGAAGTGTGAGGGCCATGAGTGCGTGAGGGGCGTGAGGGCGGTGAGTGCGTGAGGCCCCCTTCAGACGGAGCAACGTTCTCAGCAATTTTGGTGTTGCTGGCGGGTTGTTCCCTAGCTTTCCCTAGATCGACACGAATTGCTGAGATCGGGTCCGGCTCGAAACAAGCCAGCAACTCGGACAAATTTGAAGACGTTTGAAGCGGCTGCATCCAATCAGGGAGGCTATATTTTCACGTGATACCTCGTGCCGGTGATGATGACAAGGAAAGACTTAGTTCTGGTTTGAAATTGGTCATTTTTGGAAATAAACTGTTTCAGAAAGATGCATTAGTATTCCCAACAAGATTTAAATGCATAAAAACACAAGCGTAATTGTGTGTCTAAATAGTACAAGAAAAAAAAGATTTGATGACGAAGATGGCAAATTGCAGCAATTGGTTGCTGCGTGTGAACGCGGGCGGCCCGTGTTGTTGGTGTTGCGACGTAAAGTTTCTGGGCGAAATTGCCCCATCTGAAGCGGGCCTGAGTGGCGTGAGGGCCATGAGTGCGTAAGGGGAGTGAGGGGTATGAGTGCGTGAGGGCGGTGAGTGTGTGAGGGGCGTGAGGGCCATGAGTGCGTGAGGGGCGTGAGGGGTATGAGTGCGTGAGGGCGGTAAGGGGCGTGAGGGCCACGAGTCCGTGAGAGCCGTGAGGGCGGTGAGTGCGTGAGGGCCATCAGTGCGTGAGGGGCGTGAGGTTAAGTGAGGGTGAGTGAAGGGCTGAAGGTGAGTGTGACTGTGAGGATGAGGGTGTGTGAGGGGCTGAAGGTGAGTGTAGCTGTGAGGGTGAGTGTGAGTGAGGGGCTTAGGTGAGTGCGGCTGTGAAGGTGAGGGTGAGTAAGGGCGACCTACAATACCGACCTGCCATGTAGTCATGTCATGTAGTCTTCTGCTCTTCAAAAAAAACCCCCAGTCTCAGGGTAAACGACGAAATGGTTGACTTCCACCAGCTAGCCTGTACTTTGACTCTTTTCTAGTAATGTAATTTGTTTAAAAAATATGCTTGAGCGGCATCATGCAGCAGACAACGCAGCGACGTCACACCGTTCACGTGACCCGCTCCGGCCAATCCATAAAGTCCATCTCCGCGACGCAAAACAATCGTCCGCTTCAAACGCCATTGCCTTGGAAATTGCCTTCTCACAATTTTCACACGCATCCAATATTATTAAAACTTTGATAAAGTGTTTAATGCTTTACCAACTTCACGACAGACTAGTTTCGAAAAGTGTGAACTTGGCGTTTATCTTTTAATCAGCCCTGAGTATCACGTGACTCGCGCCGAGCTGCTCTGTCGGCCATGTTGTCAGCGAAACACGCGGATCAACGTTACTAAAACACTCAGTTGGGAAACTCCCATAAAGACAGCCCTAAAAATATGGCCCCAATCTGTCTCCGAACACCGAGCTAACGACGAACACAACGCCACCATTTCTCCCGCAGCGGCCACTCGAGAAACTGCACGTGACTTCTATTTTTGGCTTTGACAGGAGTGAACTCCCGTCTCCCCGGCGGACGCGCCGCGTTGAACTCCTGAAGTTAAAATGCACCTAGGTCGGGACGCGCTACCTGAAAGGCCCGCTGAGGCATGGTTTTATAAAAACAATATTAATTGTTCCGCAAAACCTTGCGAACTAAAGATAATAAAAACATCACGCGCCCATCATTTGGTACTAAACTCCAATAAATTTCATACAAAAAGAGTCTTTTCCGTTTGTTTTTACGCAAAAACAGGCTTTCAAAAAGCTCGAGGTGACCATAGTACAGACAAACGAAAAAGAGTGGCGCTGTTGTCGCATTTAGCTCGGTCTCGGTGGACGCCAGCGGCCCAGGTTTCGACGGCGAGTTTCCCAACTGAGTGTTTTAGTAACGTTGACGCGGATCAAAGGATTGCGCTACCCTGCTCCGTAAGGGGTATTCACACGAGGGAGAAATCCCGGGGATTTCTCCCCGGCACGCGCATCCCACGACGAAAACGTCAGGCTTTGCGATGTGCAAAAGCCTCGCGTTTTTATCTCGTGATGCGCGCGTGCCGGGGACAAATCCCCGGGATTTCTCCCTCGTGTGAATACCCCTGTAGGAGCTATATAGTGCTCTATTTCAGGCAACCCAATCCAGATCTGAGAGTGCGGTGAAAGCTACGTGCTCGTTGGACCAGTCATGTACGTGGCGACTCAGGCGAAATCGACGCCGCGCGGCGGCAATGGCGAGAAGCTCAGGAGAGGAGGTCGTTTCCACTCCGTCGTCAGCTATCGCTGCTTGGCTTGGCTCTCGTAGGCAGCATACTTGGGTAGAAATTCAATTACTGTCATTGAATTAATATAATTCAATTACTTTTATTGGTAATTCGTAATTGTAATTAATTACTTTTTGCTAAAAGGAATTGTAATTGTAATTTAAAGGGAAACTGAAGCGGTTCTCTATTTGAGAAAAAAACATTTCAGTGGCCTTCATTCTACCTCCAGGATCAGGAATATCAAGATTATTTTTCAATTTGGTGCACGGAGGCTTCAGAAATTAATTTTTAAAGTACCGCCGAAGCCCCTCCTTCCCGGGGCGTGACGTCACACTAGGAGCTTTCGGAATCTCTGGTCTCGCGCATCTTCAGCGCCTGTCAAAGCTATGCACGCGCACTCTTGCTATTTTCAGAAAGGTCAGAAAGAGACGTCACGACTGGTGTCAGTGCGGGAAATATACCTGGCAAGCTTGCCGTTGCACGCGCTGCCCACACGAGCGACACGCGCTTGGCGGCCCGAAGATCCTAGTATGACGTCACGACTGGTCGAATGTTTTTTCGCTTTTTCTCGCTTTTAGTTGCATCTTCAGGGAAAACAAAAGTGATATTCAGATTCACGGGATAAAAATACGCCAGAATTCACCTCTAACTCGTTTTTTTCAAGAAGTGTTTCAGCTTCCCTTTAATTACTTTATAGTGTCAGTAATTTCGAAATTTCAGGCACAATTACAATTACTTTTTCAAGTCTGTGCGGTGTCGACGGAACCTCTCTGAAAGCCCTAGCGCTCGCACAAGCGGCCTAGCTCTCGGTAAAACACTCACACACAAACTCAAACACACGCACAAGATAAATAGCGTCGCAATGTTTGTTGTTTTGTTCCTTACACTGCGGTCTGAGAAACAATCCTCTTTGGAGCCTACCTCAACGGCGCCGTGTAATGCCGTCAGCGGTGCGAGAAGAAAACAACAATAACGTAAACGTTAAAGAAAAAAAAATTGAGCTTCAGCTTTCAGCCGAGGTTGGGAATATTAATTGTCTTGAAGTTAGTTTTCTTTCATTTTTGCCAGTTCTAGGGGCGGAGCTCCTAGGGTCTAGCCTTGTCCGTCCGGCGTCTGTGCTCACATCGATCTTGCAGGTGCTCGTGCTCGTGTAGGACCAAAAAAAAAATGATGAAAAAAAAATGTTTGCGCAGTGTTTGTGAAGTTTGTTTGCGAAGCGCAATGTTTGCGAAGAGCGTAGCCGAGTGACAAAGGCGGTCTATGATAAAGCTTCCTATTTTTTATTTACGCGATAAGATACGTTCAAGTCTTTTTCATTGTTTTAAAATAATACTTCGAAGCGCGTTTTGCTTCACCCATATGTGTGCTTCGAACATATGTCCGCTGACAGACAGCGTTTGTATGATCAATCTGTCAGAACCCTCATACAAGGTTTCAGGCAGTGTCCAGGGACTGTCTTTTGCGTAATGTGCAAAAGACAGTCCCTGTCTTTTGCACATTATGTATTAGTGAGATCGCGGCTTTACGACTGTTTCCAGAAAGCATGTATCGTTGCTCCTGGCGCATCTCATCAGCTAGCCGACGCTTGAATCTCGGAGCGAAAGTGTAAACATTTGCGAGCACCAGTAGTGTAGCTGGCGTCCTTCGCCGGCCGTGAGGTAACCGGAGTAGTGCTTGTAGGGGTAGGGCTCCGTCAGTCCGGGTACAGTGGTCACTTCTGCGCCAAGCGTCGCAGGGTAGTATGCCGCCACGCACGGGTTGGCTACCACTGCCAACAGGGCAGCTGCGACGTACCACATCATCGTCCCCATCACCTGGAACGGCGGTAGTGATCCTCAAAACAGATAATAAAACCGCATTAACCAAATACTCCTTGTGTAAAAAAAAAAAAAAAAATTAAAATAACTTGTGTTTGCACAAAACAAGAACGATGGACCGTAGCGGACGCTACGGGTCATCGAAGCCAATCAAATGCCACGTTAGTTCCACGTGATCTACGGGAGAGACGTTCACAGCGCTGGATAGGCTGGGATGGCTCGTAGCATTAGCTGCGGTCCATCCTAAGGTGAAACGGAATAGAGTGGCGATAATTCTTCCTAATGCTCAAACTTGGAGGCTAGATGTTCCGCCGCCAGCAAGATCTTTCTGCCTTTGATAACGAACGCTTTGTCGCACGCAAAGCCTAAGCCCAGCGGAAGGCAAATAGCGCGTGTTGGAGGCGGAGCTTCCACTGTATTTTTGGCCTGTTTGTAACTTGCAGATCGCTTGAGAACATGGGTTGTACACGCTTTAGAACTCACTAGTTTTTTTTTTTTTAACTCTTAATTTTTAAATTCTTGAATTTAGCGGTTTCGGTTGTGTCTAGTTTCGAGTTCGCGTGGCACTGCTTGCGTTATTCTAGTTCATCACGTTCTTCTACCGGTGTTTCTACCATCGGGGTTTCTATTCTCGGACTGAAGTGTAAGCGTCTCGAGCCTTTCCAGTTCCCTACGTTAATTTCTACGTTAAAAAAAATATACAATAAACAACTTAACCTATTGACAAATGAGACGATTGACAACACTTACTTTTTCTAAGACGTTCGTCCGACACACCTAGCAGAACTGCCAGAAGAGAGCAAGTTCTCAGTTGTAGAAAGTACCTTTCAGCACCTTACGACTTTTCCGAAGATCGTGTTACCCTTTCCGTGCAAAGATATAGTTTTCTTTGACGCAGCACCATATTTTCGCCAGGGCAAGTAGCTCACTTCCAGAGATAGGCTCGTCAAAGGTTTGCTGCAAGCAGTTTTGAGACCGACACAGAGCTGTCTTGTGCACCGAAAAGAAAAGAACTTGCGTTCTTGATTCCGGTTGCTTCCAGTGAATGGTATAATACACACGTTCATTAATTTCATTACGACGATAAGTACATGCAAAATCTAGCCTACAAAAAGAACTTTATTTTGCACTATGACACAAATTATTTTAAAGAGCTTAAATACAAGTTTATGCTGGCACAGTTGAAAGTTATATCCAGTTATTTGAGTCGAATACCAACGAACCAGGCCTCAAACTGCCGAAACGAATCACGACATCATTGAAACCGGAACCAAGCTTTAAATTTTTGGGGTTCAAAACACAACTCGAAATCAGTTCGCCAGCAAAATCGCCACGGTGATCACTGCGATCACCCCGCCATCTGGTGGAAGAAGCCAAAACTACAGCACGTAAACGTTGCTGCGTCGAACACGTGCACATAACGCGATCGAACCATGGGCCCTGTCAAAAAACGTGCGAAAACCGAAAAGAAACTTAGTGAAGTGAGCGTGGAAGAGTTCATGGCCGGTGGACTTTCGTCTGACTCTGAGGGAGCACCTCCTGAACCAAGCCCAGGTAAAAAAGCCAAGAAAGCAGCTTTTACGTCTCCCAAGCACGATGCGGCGCAGATCGACGTACCGAAGAAAAACAAGAAGATTAAGAAGAAAAGATCGAAAATACGCTCGGAGAAAGACTCGGACGAGGATTCGGAAGAAGAGGAGCCCGAGCGGATACGAGGTAAAATAAATGCTCGGAAAGCGGTTCTCCGTACGAAAGCTCAGAAGCCCGAAGAGACCAGCGGCATAGCAGAGCACGATTTCGATAACGAAGGTTCGGAAAACGACCATGATGAAGGCAGCAGCGACGACTCCGAGGTGGACATGGAGAAGAACAAGGAGATTATCCGAAACCTCAAAGACACCGATCCGGACTTCTACCAGTACCTAGAGGAACATGACAAGGACCTCCTCGACTTCTACACAAATGACGCCGACCAAGAGGACAATGACGAAGCCGGCGACGGCCAGGCGGAGGAGGAACCTGCCGAACCGACGAGGCACAAAAAGATCCTCAAGTTGGAACAGGTCCGCCAGTTCGAGCTTGCCCTACGGACCAAGCCCGACTTCCAGAAGATAGCAGACGTCATCTCCTGCTTCCGGGCCGCCGTACTTCAGGCCGAAGGGGAGTCGGCCACACCGCAGACCGGAAAACACCAGTGTCCGTTCAGAGTGGAAGGCCAGACCATCTTCAACGCAGTCGTCAAGCTCTGTCTAAACGATCTGCTGCCGGCATTGCACAAGGTCCTAAATCTACCGGAACCGTCTGTGCCCAAGGACGGTGTAAAACCCTTCGACCCTACCAAGTGCCACTCCTGGCGAAAAGTGGCCCTCTCGGTCAAGGTCTATCTCATGCAGGTTGTCAAGCTTGCCACGGCCGTGACCGAACCCCAGCTTGTGTCCGTCCTGTTGCGCCACGTCCTGTTCCTGGTCCCGTACTACGTTGCCTTCCCGCAGGTCGCCAAGACGCTGCTCAAACGCCTCGTTGCCCTCTGGTGCGAGGGGGAGGAGACTGTCCGCGTCGTGGCCTTCCTCTGCCTCGTCCGCACGGTGCGCAGTCTTCCGCGGCCTTACCTGGACACGGTCCTCAAGCACATGTACATGTCATACGTGCGAAACTCCAAGTTCACGTCGCCGTCGACCTGGCCCCTCATCAACTTCATGAAGCGGACGCTCGTCGAGGCCTACGCGATCGACGAAGGGCTCGCCTACCAGCACGCCTTCCTCTACATCCGCCAGCTGGCCATCCACCTCCGCAATGCACTCACGGTCCGCAAGAAGGAGACCTGCAAGGCAGTCTACAACTGGCAGTACGTCCACTGCTGCCTGCTCTGGTGCCACCTGTTGTCGACTTCCGCGGCGCATGGTGAGAACCTGCGAGCCCTCGTCTATCCACTGGTACAGACGGTGGTGGGCACCATACAGCTGGTCCCGGCAGCCAAGTTTGTACCGCTGCGGTTCCATTTAGTTCGAGGACTCGTGCAGGTCTCCGCCGGTACAAACATCTTCATTCCGATCCTGCCCCACTTGCTTCAAGTGTTCACCATCGTCAACTTCGACCTGAAGCATTCGTCCACTTCGATGCGTCCAGTTGACCTCAGCTGCGCCCTCCGCGTCTCGCCGACACAAATGAAGGAGAGCGGCTTCCGCGACGCGGTCATAGAAAATTTCTATGAGCTCATGGTCGAGTACCTCGCACAGATGTCGAGCTCGGTCGCATTTCCGGAGCTCGTGCTGCTGGCGATGGTGCAGCTGCGGGAGTTTGCGAAGAAGTGCAAGGTTGCGAACTACAACAAGAAGGTCAGGCAGTTGCTCGAGAAGATGGAGGAAAACTACAAGTTCATCGAGGAGCGGCGTAAGAACTGTGGCGTCGCCTTGAGCGATAAAGTCGGCTTGGAGCGGCTCGAAGAGAAGTGGAGTGAGGAGGGCACGCCGTGCGCACGGTTCTACGAGCAGTGGAGCAAGCTGAGGAGTAAGAAGCAAGACACAGCAGCGAATAGGAGGGTGCTCAAGAAGCTCCCCAAGCCAGAGTCTGGATCCGACACCGGATCCGACTCTGGCGAGGAACAAGAAGTCGAAGAAAAGGTAGAGAAGAAGCCCAAAAAGGCAGCAAAGAAGCAAAAGAAAGTAAAGAAGGCCAAGCCCGAGGAAGAGGAGGTTGCCGTGGGAGACGAAGATGTCGTTCAGGACATGGAGTTGTCATCTACGTCGGAAGAGGAAGAGGAGAGCAGTCAAAACGACGACGACGACGACTTGTCGGACTAGATTTTGGATCCGGTTGCAGGAAGGAATGCGGGGGATCTGGAAACGTTGATTAGGCGTATGAGCTGTTGTGAAGCTACATGATTTAGGAGCTAATGAATCAAGGAAAGAGTGTACAAAATGCTAAAGGTGCGTTAAATATTTGGTCAATAAAAATATGCCCAAGGTTTGTAGCGTGGGATGTGTTGTATGGCCGGCACCTAACCATTTTTGTTGCCCATCCAGAAACAAAAGTTGAAAAGACTCCTGCTAGCCGAACGCCGAAGCTGCACTCGTCGTCGCACTGATTAGACAAGAGCGCCAGCTGACCCTTTTCCTCGAGTGTGTCAGTGTTACTCCCGTCAGGGGTGAAAACGTCGTGTTCAGAGACGCAGTGGCACTCTGCTCCGTAAAATGAGTGCGCTCCAGGCTTCCTCCCAAGAGCGAGCGACAGAAAGAGAAAAAAAGCAGACGGTACGTTAGACGTGGTCATTTTGCTGCAACGAATTGGGATAGTTCGAGTGTGGTTCTTTTGTTGCAAGCAGAGCCCACACTTTGATGGGCTCTAAGAAAGTCATTTACATTGCCACTGCAGAGGATGGCACCCAACTGTTTCAGCCTTCTAGTTTACAATTGTGTACACAAGATTTCCACACTAATGGATCACAATTTGTGCTGCCACTGCTTTCGCCACACTAATGCCATAAAACTTTATTATTTTTCTTTTTTGAGGACAGGCATTATTTTGCAGTTGTATTTTATGCAAATTTGTTAAACGACTTCACAGCCTACAAGCAACTTTGTGATGGTTACATGGTCAATATAAAAGGACATGGCAGAAAATGCACAGTTCTTTAGTGTTGGGTCATAGCTAGGGTTCACAGTTTTCTGATAAATCTGCAAAGCTCTCGCCATTAAAATTCGTCAATATGAATTTAAAAATATTTTCAAAATCGCAATTACAAAAAAAAAAAAAACACTTTTTTACAAATCAGCTTTATCGACCCATGGTCAGCGAGAAACCACTCCAGTATCCTTTCAAATCTCTGACCATTGACAAAAGCGGGTTCACTGCGCATCTTGCCAAGCTTGGTTCAGGACGGCAGGGTTATTGCACTTCTGGGCCATGAAAAAAAGTCGCCGTTCCGGTTTGGAAAATGCTAGGTATTTGTGCTTCTTGCAGGAAGGAGGGGTTGTGTCTTTATAACTGAAAGCTTTAAACCTATAGATTTTCTAGGAAAGAGATGCAGGCTGAAGCTTCCATACCATACCTTCCATATGTGGAATGATATGGGAGGAAAACAAGCTTAACAGCAATTGCATCAGCAGTTGGGCGATTCTAAAATACCTACGACATCCATGAAGCAAATTATTTGCAAGTTTTGTCATTGGACAGTTAGTATCACAAGGGGTGCCAATGCCAAGTAGGCTGCCACTTCCGCGATTCTGGAGCAAAGTGTCGGCCTACTGATGCCCAGGTGGCGGGTTCGAATCTCGGCCGAGGTGCTTACATTCTGACGGAGGCCTGTTGTGGAGAAGGCGCTGTGTAACCTAGATTTGGGTTGCGCATTGAAAGATCCCCAGGTGGTGAAAATTAATCCCTCGTTCTCGGCTGGGGCGTGCCAGGTGTCCTCGTGATGATTTTAACCCAAAACTGGGGCAAAAATATTTGTTACGGTTGAATGAAAGTCATGGGGACAGGCAGCGTGTCTATTACCCTGTCCCTGTTAGTTCTTCCAGTGTAAAAAAAAAATTTCCCCCTTCGGCCTTAGTCTCGGGTTAAAACCATAATGATAAACTTACACCAGCACACCTGCGCACCGACCGTAATTTCATAGATGTCCTTCGTTGGTTTGGCACGTGAAAACACCAATTTTGCGAAGTCCAGCTGAAAAAAATGTAATTTGACACGAGCAAGTTCTTATGAATGCAGGATATATTTGTCTCGATATTATTTATCTTGATTTGGGATTCTCAAAAATTGGGAACACACAAGATTAAACCTGGATCATTGAAGAATTGGAAATCTAAACAGAAGTAAGCTCCAATAAACCCCCAATTTTAGACAAAATATAAACTAAAAAAAAAAGCACCTTCCCAATTGCATAAACAATAGACTTAGTTGTAGCTAGCTTAATCCATCTGGGGAAAGCCTGGCATTTTGTCATTGGAACAACAGATTGCACAGCCGCTGTGAAAAGTACAAATGGCAAATGCAAACGTTGATGCTTAGCAGCGGCCATCCCTTAGAACACATGCTCTTGTTGCTAAAGGTGCTAACGTGTATCTATCCTTCTCTGTCCCATTTTTGATGGCCTCTTTAGCTCATCGGCAAGTTCAGCAAAGGCTATGGCAGGGATGAGTATTAAGGCAAACTAAAAATAGTGCATTACTGGTGGTTCATCAAACAAACTAAAAAAAATGTGCATTACTGTTGGTTCACCTAATGCAAACCTTAAAGAGCCACTGAAAAGAAAAGTTTTTTTTAAACAGTCTGGATGGGACACACGTGTCAAAAAATTAATTTTCCGCAAAAAAGTATTTCTTTAGAGCAACATTGACGGTGCGAGACACGATTTAGTTGGTAGTCACCTCCTTTCCACTTGTTTTTTCTAGGCATTTTGGGCGCATGGAGGTGGATCGGCTTGGCCATATTGTTGAGGTGGAGAGAGTGTATGACCATCTTGTTGAGGTGGAAAGAGTGTATGACCATTCCACGAGGTCATGGACCTTGCGCGCAAAATTTAAAAGAAACCTTGTGCCGTCAATATAAAAATCTGATTAATTTCTTGACACGCGTTTCCCAACCTGACTGTTTAAAAAAACACATTTCTTTGTTTCAATTCAATGGCCCTTTAAACTGTTTTCTTTTTTTTTTTTTGGTGGGACTATAATTTACGCGAGCACTTGGCAATCCGGCCAATCTGTTAAATTTTTCAGCCACCTAACCTCAGTAAAGTCCTTGAACAGCATTTTATTCATTTACATTGCTTTCGTGCGCAGCATTATAGTAATTTTTCTTTCTTTTAGAAATGTTAGATAGAAACATTTAATTTAGTTTCCGTCGTTGAATTATTAAATTGTCACATTTGTTGCACATACATTCATATCTGCATGTATTTTTTTTTTTTTGTTAAATACGCCCCTTACGCTTGGCCTAAGAATCAGGCCCTCGGAATTTTGAAATAAATAAATAAATAAATAAGCCTCTAGTGGAAGCCGAAAACCAAAATGCCACTGAAGTGGTAACTCGCTTTAATCACAGTCTTTGGCAATCTTTGTACAAAACGAAATACAGGGCCTGCGTAAAACCCGCGAGCCCATCCCAACTTGCACCAAACCACACATCCACCGGACTAGCCAAAACGGGGTCGCTCAAAGAAATTAACCAGCACCAGACACCCACCCTACTTTTTTGTCTGCCGTTTCCTGGAGTCCGCCATCTTGGCAAGCTGCTTGCTGAGCTCCTTGCGAACCTGCGCCTTCTTGTCGGGCCTCAGCCTGGGCGGAGCCACAGTGCCCCCTCGAGACTTGAGCCACGCCGCACGGGCGTGCGCACGAGCCTCGTCTCCGCAACCGTGTGCTTCCGGCAGCGCATGTTTGAAGCAGTAGCCTCGCTTACAAAAGGGACAGGGTCCCCCCGTTCCCGCGAGCACGGTGTGCAGTTTCTCCTGACACGTCGGGTCCGCGCACGTTCGGTCTGCTACCATGACGCTCGCGATGAGTTCGTCGAAGTCGTCTTCATCTTTCGCGTCTCCATTCGCTGCCTTTGCAACATGCTTCTTTTGTTTTTGTTTTCTAAGAGACACCGATGCCTTAGGCTTAGTTGCTTGCACAACTGCCGCCGAGTGTTCGGCACCGTCTGACTCGTCGGACGGTGTGGATGCGTCGTCTGATTCTGGTGTTTTATCTGGGCATCTCGACACTGTCCGTTGCTCTTTCGGGCTTGACTTTTTGGTGCCGGTGGTTTTCTCTGCAGAAGCTTCGGAAGAAGGTTGATTTGGTGACGGTTTGGCTTCAGCGCGCTTTCTGAGTACAATGTGTCGTTCCTCTCCGTCGCCCTCGCTGGCGTGCAGAAGACTGAACCGTTCGGCAACCTTAAAAAGAAAAGAAAAAAAAAACAACTTAAAACATGTTCCAAAGTAGTGGTAGGCCCCTTCTCAAATACATGTGCCCATTGTTAGAAAGTTCGAAACACTGCCTGACAGCGAAACAGGCGACATCGCACAATGCACAAGTCTGATACTGTACTACATAAACTGGTGACGAAGTGATATTGGAAACATTTCTAGGAAATTTCAACTTTGGCAGTTCATTTTGTGTCCACCATTGTGCAGTACTGTCGGGACCGGTTATAACGAAGTCAGTGGGAATTGGAAATCACTTCGCTATATCCGCTATTTCATTATAACGGACTTCGGTTTTAACGAAATGCAATAGGGAATGGTAAAATGTGATCGCTTCGCTGTAGCCGCTATTTCGTTATAACCGACTTCGTTATAACCGGTCTCGACAGTAACTGCGTTGTGAGTATGTTTATACAGGAGGAAGTTATTCAGCCGAAATGGGCGCCTGGAGTCTCTGCAGTAGATGAGGAATTACCAAAAATCCTGAAATACCGCCCACACTCGATAGATCGCCCACTCCGCTTTTATGTTCGAACACGTGTTTCCCTCGAATACTGATAAGTCCCCACCTTCCAAAAATAGCGATGCCCGAAGGTTGAGAAAGGTGCCGGAGGGTAGGGGAGAAGGTCTGGAAAGCCTAGGATTCCCTTCACAAAAAGAAGCCACACACAATAAGGGAGATAAGATAACGGAAGGAACCCGGAAAGCGGTCAAGGTCACTTATTGAATGACATCAGGAAAGCGTTGAAGGTCACTTAGTGGTTGTCGTCAGATCGCCCGAGAACCCCAGAAAATCTTTCGACCAGCAAACTGTGAAGACGCTTATTGTGTATACTCGGGATGAGGTCCAGCTATACCATCCAGAAGAAAGTGGAAGTCGTGGAATGGCACCGCAAGAACGGAGCTAACGTGAGCAAGACTGCGCGCCATTTCGAAGTTGACCGGAAGCGTGTACGGGAATGGAATACGAGCTACCAAGTACTTCTACAACAATGCCATGGAACGAACAAGTTGAAGAGAGCAATAGGTAGGGGACGACCCGTTTTTAGTGAAGAAATCGACGACGC